CTTTACATTGTTTACGACAGCTATTTCATGCAGACTTAGCATGGAGGTAATCTCTAAACATCAGTGCAATGAGATTCTAGAACAGCTTCCCATTAGCACTAGTGGAGGCACAAAGCCTAGTTATTTTTAAAATGGAGCTTGATAAATGTATGACTGGGATTATATGACCTGCTTGCCTGTGTTAGCTGGGAACTAACCTCAGCAAAACAAAAGATCTCAGAATAAATGGCCTACCTTTCTAAGATATAAAATCACCATTTCCTATCTCTTTATGTTTGCTCCTTGGGGAAATTTCAGCAGCCTGCCAAAATAACAGTGAAACCCATGAGCATCCCAAAGCTGGTGTCACACTACTGCTAGCACATCAGCAGCAGCTGTTCTGGAAATATCTGGCAGCTGCCTGAGGAGCTGCATTGAAGGCAGCAATAAAGCCAGAACAGCATTCCTCAGCCCTGACCATAGATCATATCCCACAAGAGGCAGCAAAAGGATGAAGGACCCCCTACAACATAAACAGCCCCCAGAACTAGCACCTGCCCTCAGTGGCCTACTCCATTCCTTTATCCCCCAAATGCATAATGTGTGGTTTGAATTCCTCCAATAGGGAAAGACAGACTAAGGTCAGTGTCAGTAGTTGGCAGGTCCCATCTACCCCAAGCGGCATCACATGGGGCTAAAACCCTTCAGTTTAGGGGGTAAGTGGAATAAGTTCAGCTCTCCTCCCCCATCTTCCCCACATCAATCATGTTCAGGACGCAAGAACTAGGCTGAGCAACCTGTCTTCTTTTGGGACAGTACCTAATGAAATCAGTTTTGTAGTTCATTGGCAGCAGTCTAAACTCTGGTTGAGAATTTAGAGAATAAATCTTAAGACTGGTATATGATAGGGGGTTGTTATAGTTGCACATAACAGAATTGTGGGGTGCCTGTAAAGGCCTTGTTACATGGTAATTTTGGGTGGCTCCTGGAGCTCTTAACCCCTGGACTGTCTGTACATTAACACCTTAAAGTGACTTAAAGCACTTGTTATGCAGCTTAAAGTTATGCCACTCTAGGGCAGGATCTACACAACTCACCCCTTTTCCATTAAGGTGTGGTCATTCCCCACAGATGTGCCGCTCAAGTTGAAGACCTCCAGTATCCCAGGATGCAGTGGTTCTTCCCCCACCCTCCTGTTCTGTGTGGACAGACTTTCCACTCCCTGAACTCCTACAGCTCCTAGTCCTGCCCCTGCTCACCAGGCCAGAGGTTTCTAGGCTAAAGGTGTGACTGCTCCAAACTCCAAGCTAACACTAAGCCGATCAACATTGTTGCAGGTCACAGCATAAGGTATAATGGCCCAAGCCCACTGCCATTCACATTACAAATCCCTTAGCTGTCCTGCTAGCAGCAACCCAGCAGCTGTATAACTAGGCCTGGGTGATGAGGCAGCTGCCTCAGGCACTGACTTGGGGAGGGGTGCAGAAAACATCAGCTGTTGCTGCAGCTGCAGGCTTGTGCCAGCAGCACAGTAGCAACCAAAAGTTACCGCTGCTCCCACGTGTCCCGCTGCCCTGGGTGCCTGCTTTCTTACATCTCTGCAACCCAGCATGCCTATGAAAGTTCCTCTGAGCACTAGA